ACCTCATCCCCGGCTTCACCGCCCTGCACCGCAGCAAGTCCCACGAGTTCCAGCTGGGCCACCGCGTGGACGAGGCGCACACCCCCAAGTAAGCGGGTGTGGGGGGGGTGAATCCCGTCCCTGCTCCCTGGGGAAAGAGCTTTTATCCCGAAATGTCGGAGCGCGGAGTCTCGGTCTGAGCCATGCGGTGGGAAAATCCCTCGCGGTTCCGGTGGTCGGCGGAGATGTTGGAGGGGGGGTGTCTGCTTTGCTCCCTCGTTTTGGGAGCTTGGGGTGGACGGGGAGCATCCTGAGGGGCACGGGGGCTGCTGGAAGGTGGGATGGGCGGGCTGGACGGTGGGATTTTGTGGCCAGAGGAGTGGCATTGGGGTGCGAGCACGCTCCAGAGCGAGGGGGGAAGGATCGTCTTCCAGCTGAAGTGTGGATATATGGACATGGAAAGCCTTATGGGGATGACAGTTTGCATCCCGGGCACCTCCCGGTGTGTTTTCCGTCCCCGGTGGTGTTTGGAGGAGTCTCTGCCCACATTCCCGCCGCTCCTGCTCTGCGGCTCCGGTGCCGGCAGAGGCTGCTGCTGTGCAGGGAAAGGATTCCCCGGTGCCAACGCTCTCCCCCTCCATCTCTTTCCACCCCTTTTGATGTCCGTGCTCAGAAACCCCTCCTGCTGCCCCTGGGGGGGGGGACAAAGGGGACCAGCGGCAGCCTTGGGGCATCGTCTGCTCCCCCTGAGGATGGAGTGGCTGCTCCCCTCCCGAAACAGGAGCCCCGGGACAAACTGCCCTGTTGTCCCTAAATCTGGGGTCCTTGAGGATAAAAAGGCCGTGGCAGCATCCCTGGCAGGGGTGTGGGGGCAGCCTGGTCACCCTGGCACGGCAGCTCAGCCCCTCCTGCCCAGCCACGGTGCTCCAGCTGGGACACGGGAGGAGCCAAACCCCTCTGTCTTCCTGAGCTGCTCCGACTGCCAGGCCCTGAGCCCCCCTTGGCTTTGGGGTGGCAGATGGGTCTGGTGGCCTCAGCACTGTGGTGTCACTTGTTCCCCCCTTGGCTGTGGTGGCTGTTGGGCTGTGGTCGTTGCACAGAGTGAGGATGGTCACCCTCCTCCTCCCCTGGGCTGGGAGGTTTTGGTCTCTAAAGGCTTTTAGCTTCTGGAAATTAAACTATTTCAGCTGGAAAATTCCTCCTGTGAGGCCACCCCTGCCCACCCCCACCACACTCAGGCACTGCCAAGTCATGTTTGCTTTGGTCCTTCCGAGAGCATCACCACGGCTGCAGGAGGGAACCCTCACTGAGGTTTTCCTTCTCCTTCTTTCTCCTTTTCCTTTTCCTTCTCCT